CCACGAGTCAGCGCACCATTTGGAGCCCAGGATGGCCCCAAAACCGGCTGAGCCAGCCGCACCTGTAAACAGATGTAGGTCCGCATTAGAAACCTCCGGGGCCTGCCAGTACGACCTCCCATTATATGAGGCCAAAAAGGAATCCCAGACAGCCAAATCAGCCCGCAAGGGGCGCGTTAGCCGGATAAAGTGCTGCGGGCAAACGACCCCAGATGTCGCCGCCGCCAAGCGCCTGTTAAAGATACGCCCCATGGGCAAAATCCTGCAAGCGAAATTGAATTTTCCTAGCAGAGATTGCAGGCCATGCAGCTGGATCTTCCGCCGCCCTAGAGCCTGCGAAACCGCTAGGCGCAGGTCCAGGACCTTGTCCTGGGGTAACCGACATTCCCCGGCTACCGAATCGATTTCAATGCCCAGGAAACTAAGGCACGTGACCGGACCCACCGTCTTGTCATGAGCCAACGGAACACCAAAACACTGAAACACCTCCCCGAGAACCCGCAACAAGAGGGCACAGACGTGCGACTCCGCCGGCCCTATGCACAAGAAGTCATCTAGGTACTGCAGAAGGGAAGAGACCCCCGCCTCCCTCCGCACCACCCAGTCTAGAAAAGTGCTAAAGCACTCAAAATAGAAACATGACAGAGAGCAACCTATAGGTAGGCACATATCCACAAAGAGCTGGCCCTCAAAAGCACAGCCCAGTAAATGATGGCACTCTGGATGCACTGGAAGCAACCAAAAAGCAGATTCCACGTCCGCCTTTGCTAGCAGCGCCCCGGGGCCAGCAGCCCTCACCATGCGAACTGCAGCATCGAAGGAGGCATAGGAAACCCTGCAAAGCTCCGCCGAGATGTCATCATTCACCGAACCCTCCCGGGGGTAAGACAAATGGTGAATTAGTCGAAACTTACCGGGTTCCTTCTTAGGCACCACGCCCAAAGGAGAAACCCGCAAGTTAGGCATGGGTGGGAAGGAAAACGGGCCGGCCATCTGGCCCAAGGAGACCTCCTTCCCCAGTTTTTCCCGAACCACATGAGGAAATTCCCGCACGGACCTGAGGTTCCGAACAGAGTGCTGTGGAGGGCGCTCCGAAAAGGGGATCCAGAAACCCTGCTCAAACCCTTCCACTAGGATCTGTGCTGCCGCCCGGTTCCTATAAAGGTCGAGCCACGGGCGCATCGCGTTTACGAGCACCGGTGTCGTCGCCCTTAACCCCCATGTCCCCTTTTTCGCCCGTTTTCCCACGCTTGAAACAGCGAGAGGCGGGATGAGCCCCGCTGCAGCTGGAGCACTCGTGCTTAAACCGGCACGAGGACCCCCACTTGCAGTGACTGTCATTGAACTTCCAACAACAGCCTGTCCTCTGATTGGGGGCCGCTGGGGCAAAGGAGCCCCCACCGGCCCCCCCAAGAAAGGACGAAACCGCGCCCTGCTGAGGGGCTGGACGGGTCATAATTGCGAGCCAGAGACCAATGTCCATCTGGTCCCAAGCCAACGAAGAACACACTGCCAGCCGCTGCCGGAACTGCTCGTCGTACCTCCACCACCCCAGCCCCCCATAGGTTCGACAGGCGTTCCAGATCGTGTCCTGATAACAGAACAACGCGGAACACTTCTGGGGGGCTTTCTCCCCCACCACGCTGGCCAGGATGGAGAACATCCGAATCCAATTCCCAAACGTTTTTGGAATGTTCCGATAGCGATATTTCTCCTTGTCTTTTTCAGACTCCTTACTGTCTTTTTCTGTCGCGGGAGGAGCTTCCTCCAGCAGCAGGAGAGAAAATTTCTCGACGAACTCACATATAGGCTGCGCCACGCGCCACGTCTGCCACGCCCGCCTCAGGGGGAGCGTCACCCATGGGCGCACAAACACCATCCCCCGTGGGTCCCAGGGGCAACGAACCACTACCCACTACTGAAAGGGGCCTGGGAGGAGGGGGAATCTAAACTGCGGGGAGAAACTGCGCGGGGGACCAAACAGATCGCAGCTGACTATCTACAGAGGTGTCCCCTTTTCCCGCCGCCCCTTGTTCCCATTGATCTAACAAACCTCGAAGACCCGAAAGAAACCCCCCCAATCCGAGACTCACCAGCGGCAGCTTGGCGATCCAAACCCTGCGCTGCATGCATGGAAGACTGAGGCACTGAAAATTGGGTTCCAGCATCCAGAGAAGAGATTAGCTGTGTTCCAGGCGCCACCTGCTGGCTGGATCCACGAACTGCAGCAGTATCCTGAGGAGAGAGCAGCGAAGAGGACGTGAGCCCATGCCCCAGAGGAGATGGCCGAGGTAAGTGACTTGCAGGGGGGGAGGCCCGGATGTAGCTGCAGGCCTCCCACCGCCCCCGGACCGCGTTCCAATGCTGGCGGCTGGGGCGGGAGGCAGGGGAACCGGCCGGGCACGTGGAGCCCGCCGGGTAGGCCGCGCACCAGGCCTCTGGGCTGCAGGGCGCGCGGCAGATGAAGGCCTCACCTCAGGCCTTGAGGGGGCAGGCTGCACCGCATGTGCAGCCGCGGAAGGCCGCAAATCCCGGCCACTGGACCCAGGCTGCGTGTCTGGAGCCCCAGAGACGCGGCCCCGGCGATGCCTCGGGTCAGGGCTCCTGCTCCTCAACCGGGCCCGAGGGGTATTATCAGGAGACAGCCTGGCAGGCGGACGGGAATGCCTGGCAGTGCTGGTGCGGCCCCCAGGGGCAGGGGCCGCATGGGAGGTAGCAGGGGAGACCGCAGGGGGTGCTCCAGGGGAGGGTAGGCCACGGGGGGTGCCCACACTGGCAGCCATACCTCCACTAATGCTCTGAAATTGCTCCCTTAGTTGCCGGCCACCATCCAGCGCAGCAGCAGCCCTGAGGGATGACAGGATCGCCTCAATATCCATCACCTCAAGCTGTGAAGACTAAAGGCCCAGGCAAACAGGAGCTAGAGGATAAGAAGCTGTTTGCTGGCCCGAATCCCAAGTGGCACTGAGCTAAGACCTCCCCCACGCTAACTTATATTGAACCTAACCCCTCCCACACACACATTACCCAAGTCACTCCCCTGCATCTATCCCCACACTCCTACATGTGCCCTTGTCCGCTTAGCTGCGCTATCTCCCCAGGGTCTAATCAGTGAGAGTCTGTGTGTTTGTCATTAAATGTGTGTGATTGTCAGTATGTAGCCGCCAGTAGGTGAGTGTGTCAATGAATGTGTGTGTGTGTGTGTGCCTGTCAGTGAGTATGTGTATGTCAGTGAGTGCATGTGTCTCTAAGAGTGTGTTCGTGTCATTGTGTGTCTGTCAGTAAACATGTGTGTGAGACATTGACTATCTGTCAATGAATGTATGTCAGTGTATGTGAATCAGTGAGGGCATGTTGTCTGTAAGGTTGGCCCATCCACACTGTCATACCAACATGGTCATCTCCACAGCATGCTCCCCACATTGTCACCTTCCTACACCCTGCCCCCCGCACTGTCACCTTCCTACATACTGCCACCCCCACACTGTCACCTTCCTACACACTGTCACTTTCCTTCACACTGCCACCCCCCCACACTGTCATTTTCCTACACACTGCCCCCATTCTGTCACCTTCCTACACACTACCACCCCTTCACACTGTCACCTTCCTGTAGCGGTTACCCCGAATAGCAGAGGGGTTTCAACCGCTGGAGGGTGTCCTTTTCCCGATCAGTGAGGAGTATTCTCAGCTTCCAGTCATGCTCCAAGTGAAGAAGCTCTTACAAGAGCTAGTGTGAATAGCTGTATAGGGGTTACCCCCAATAAGAGACAAGACTCTAGATTGAGGGTGAAGTAGAACTGATGTTTAATGGCAGGTAGTCTGCTTTTATGCAGTGCTCCCCTGCAAGGGAGACGCCCACAGGCAATTATACATTAACCAATCAGACGATGGTTACAACCCACAGATTCCCTCCCCTCTGCTTGGGAGATAATTGAGTTTCCTACAATATCTACTCAATTATCTCCTAAGCTAAAACTTATACTTTTTAGGCATTTTTATAACTTTTTGACTTTTCATCACACAGGAATAAAACTTGGGGACAAATATATTCGAAATTCGTACCAATCCATTCACGGGTTCCAGAGATATGGAAAAGTCTCTTTGGACCGGCCGCACGCCTGTTTGCATGCCCAAAACAGTTCCACAGATTCAGGCTGTGCGGTCGGTCTATTTCTGCCTTGAAAAATAACAAAGTCCCATCCGAAGGCAGCGTTGAAGTCAAACGGGATTAAACTTCCTCGATGGTTGTTAGGTGAGTGGTAGTCGGTTTCACATGAAAAGATGACAAAGTCCCATTCGAACGTGTGTTCAAATCTTCGAATGGGACTTAGTCTCCAGCCGCAGTGTTGAAGGGTAGGGGACGGTGCAGGTCAGCGGTGTTCATGCAAATGTGCGACCGATTTCCGTTCCAGAGATTTGAGGGCACACACCGCTGACCGCGTTTGGCTGTATTAAAATGGCCGTCGCCACGTGTTCGACTGTCTAATGGCGACCACTTCGACTACTTCGGCACTTTGGCTGTATCCGAAGTGCCATATCAAATGTACCCATTCTCTGCATAACACAGTTAAAGGGCCAGAAACAGTTGTTGTCCTTAAGTGTAGGGCAATGTGGAGAATGGCAGAAAGGTAAAAAGGTAGAGGTTCCCAGGCAACAGGGTAGGATGCTGGTACACATATATTATAGCTCCACGCAAAAAGGGGGGGATCTGTTACACTTCTTACACACTGTCCCCCATACTGTCACCTTCCTACACACTGCCCCCTCCTTTCCATCCCACAGGTAAGAGTCAGGGAGGGGGTAATAAGCCCCATATAATTACACAGACACTACTACATAAACATCAACTACAGACAGTGCATCCAGTAGACACACTGCACTCACCAAACAGTATATACACTACACACACTTCATTCACTACACAAACACAGACACTGCATACACTATACACACACAATGTATTCTATACACATTACATCCACGGCATGGAAGAAGGGTGAAGAAAAGACATGAAAGGGAGGGGAACAGAGACAATGGATGGAAGGGGGGCAGAAAAGACATGGATTCTTCAATCCATGGGCTAGATGTGAGATGAACAGACGGTGCGGCTACATCTAAGGTGTGACACATTACCTACCTGGCTGCGACTGCAGTTTGCAGAGGGATTAAGGCACTCGACGACCAAACACCGCTGAACTCTAACAAAGCAAAGATGGCCGCCACCACGTGTTCGGTACACAAACGGTGGCCACACACAGAACACTCATTAACAGATGGATACAGTGTTTCGGTTTTACTAACGAGCGGCACACGACCTTCTGGGGTGGTCTCCCATTTGGTCTTTTGTTTCATTTCACGAACAGGGTTGGAATCCACTGTTCGTGAAACTTGCAACAGTGTGTTAGCGGTATTCGTGTGCCATAATACACGAATGCATATGAACATTAGATGAAAAGCTTTGCATACGGATAAATTTACCAGGGGTTAAGTGACTCACAAATAGACACAATAGAAACAAACATCAGGCATATTTATACATAATACTCTGTAAGTGGCTAGGTTTGCCACAATGCTCCCCTAGAACCAAGCCGGCATACACAGTCTGATTCCAACGGATCGGCTTGGGGATGTCCAGAGGAGTACCCACAGATCACTTTTCAAGTTCAGTTTGTCTGGATAATACGTTGGCGTTGCCATCTAGCTTTCCCAGGGGGTAATGGATGGTAAAGTCAAAAGGCTGCAGCGCCAAACTCCAGCGCAGCAGCCTGGCATTGTCTCCTGATACCCGGTTCAGCCATACCAACAGGTTGTGATCTGTGAGTGGCGAGAATGGTTGTCCGTACAAATATGGTTGCAGCTTCTTAAGGGCCCACACCACGGCAAGGCATTCCTTTTCGGTGTAGCTTACTTCTCTGGGCAAAAGTTTTCTGCTTAAGTAAGCTAAGGGATGCTCGCCGCCTTCTGCTCCGACTTAGTTCAGTACTGCTCCCAATCCAAACATAGAAGCGTCTGTATGGACGAGAAAGCATTTAGTTGGATCAGGAGCAGCAAGTACAGGTGCGTTAACAAGAGCAGTTTTTAGTTGTTGGAATGCCCGTTCACACTCTGGGGCCCATACTACTGACTTAGGGAGGTTTTTGCAGGTTAAATCCGTGAGGGGTTTTGCTAGGGTGCTTTAATCGGGCACAAATTTTCCATAGTACCCTGTGGTACCTAAAAACGCTAGGACCTTGGTTTTGGTACCGGGTGTTGGCCATTTGGCTACTGCCTCTATTTCGGCAGGTTTTGGCTTTTGCTGGCCGCTTCCCACCCGGTGTCCTAAATACTGAACTTCGGCTATCCCGATATGGCACCTACTGGGTTTAAGGGTTAGCCCTGCCTCTCTAATGCGATCAAGTATGGCTCCTACATGGCTCAGGTGGTCAGTCCAGGAATTGCTAAAAATCGCGATGTCGTCTAGATATGCGCACGTGTATTCCTGAAACCCATCTAATAGCCGGTCCACCATCCTTTGGAAGGTGGCCGGAGCATTTTTCATCCCGAATGGCATGACCTTAAACTGGTACAGGCCAAACGGGGTGACAAATGACGACTTAAGGATGGCAGCTAAAGGAATTTGCCAGTACCCTTTACAAAGATCTATTGTGGTTAGGTACTGCCCTCTGGCCATCTTGTCTAAGAGCTCGTCTATCTGGGGCATCAGGTAGGCATCCGATACTGTTTTATCATTGAGCCTTCGATAATCTACGCAGAAGCGGGTAGTTCCATCCCGCTTCAGCACTAGTACCACTGGGGAAGCCCATGGGCTATCCGAATGTTCGATAACCCCCAGTTGTAACATTTCCTCAATCTCCTTACGCATATTTTCTTTTACAGACTCAGGGATGCGGTAAGGAGGTTGGCGGAGGGGTGTTTGTCCTGGGGTTTCTACCCTGGGAGATTGGAAAAGCTGGCCCCCTTTTCCCTAATTAAACTTTGGTCCTGAGTTCTCTCCTGAGGATTCAAGCGCTCCCATAGCTGTACGGCCTCCAGATCCTCATTTTGGCCTTCTCTCGCCAGGAGGTCTAGTAGCGGCAGGTTATCAACATCCTCAGCGGCAGAAGCACAGATCGCGGTTACCTCTTCTGTACACTCGTGGTAGGATTTCAGCATGTTCACATGGAGCATACGTCTGCCTCCTGCGCCAGCGCACGGGCCAATTATATAGGTGGTATCGCAGATTTGCTCTACCACCTTGAATGGGCCCTGCCAGGAGGCCTGCAGCTTGTCACTAGGGATGGTTCATAGCATTAACACCTCTGCCGTGAATTGGGTACCCCTATCTGAAATAATTTCCAGTGGAAATGCCGGAGAATATTCACATAAGGGCATCCGCTACAGTCTCGGCATGTACATTTGTTAGGGCCACTGCTTCGGGGTATCTGTGGTGTAGTCCACTATGGTCAAGATGTACTTCTTGCCAGAGGGACTAGGCTTTTTCAGCGATCCGATTATGTCTACCGCTACTCGACTAAAAGGTTCTTCTATTATGGGTAAGGAGTGGAGTTTGGCTTTATAGTGGTCTCCCCTTTTCCCTACTCTCTGGCAGGTATCGCAGGTCTTACAGTATTGTCTAATATCCTTGGAGATACCCGGCCAGAAGAAGTTCTGGGTCAGCCGATGTTTAGTTCGGCTTATCCCTAAATAACCCGACAAAGGTATGTCATGTGCTATATGCAGTAACTCCTGTCTGTACTTCCAAGGCACAATTACCTGTTTTATGGGGATCCCAAGCATATCCCAAGCATATCTTTCTCCTTCTAAGCCTGCCTGGTTCTTGTCTATTCGGTCTTTGTAAACCTGCAGGGAAGGATCTAGAGCGACCTCGCTACCAAATTCTAGAGGGGCATCCCAGGGAAGGGCAGTGTGATTATGTTTCGAATCGCTTACCTGAGCCTCAGAGTCATTGGATTGTGCCGTGGTGCGAGCCTGCTTCCTGGTGACAATGGGTATGCCTCCTGTACGGTGGTACGAGGAACAAAAGTGGAGGTGAGCTCCCCCAAGTCATTTCCCAAAATAACATCCGCTGGCAAGTTTTGCATCATCCCCACCTCCATGTTCCCTGACCCCGCTCCCCAAGTCAAATGTATCTTGGCAGTGGGAACCTTGTAGATTGCTCCCCCTGCCACTCGTACCGCTATACAATCCCCCATAAGTTGGTCTTTTGGGACAAGATGATTTCGGACCAAGAGGATGGTGGCCCCGGAATCTCTCAGTCCTTCCATACGTTTCCCTTCTACGTGGACAACTTGGCTGCCTATCAAGAGAGTTGGCATATCACAACAATTAGCATGTACATTAAGGCAAAACTTTGAAATAATAGTACAATAGTTCAAATGTAAAGAGAATTTCCATTTGTTTGAAAGCTCGCACCAATGGTTTGGTGGTTTTGATGAGGCCGTCCATTTGCACAGGCATATTTCATTTCACGGTGAGTTTGGAGGAATTACACCAAGAATCCATTATATTGGAGCTGTCAAGTTATGAAAGTTTTCCATCGTGAATCAGACTAGTAATTAGTCAGATCTTTTAGAAGAAATGCATGTGTAAGTCATTTTTATTTAGCTTTCGCTGCATTACTTGCAAACTTGTAATGTGTTAATTTTGAGCGTTCTTACTATATGAGCTGCTCTTTATGTAGAGTCACTTACACGGTCTGAGCCTTTTCTTTTCCCTCTAATTTCCCTGTGTGAATAGACTGAAGCTCCGATTGTCATGTGAACTGCCTGGAGGTTATTGTTTTTGTTAATGCCAACAGTCACTTGTGTAGCTTGCAAGAATACTATACATATGGTGGAGGTTACTGGAAAAATCAATGGTTGACTATTCCGACTTTACCAGGTGTCGAACCTAGTATTGACTGCTGGCCGAGAGACAAACATGATCACTGACAGGGGTGGGCTGGGCCGGGGGGCAACGAGGCAATTGCCCCCCAGGCCGCCTTAAATAATTTTAAAATTGGCGGCTGCAGGGCCGATCCTAATGCTGCAGCCGCCTGAGAGCTCTGTAAAAAGCCTTCATGCGGGTGCAGCGCTGCTTCTCTCCTCCCCTTCCTTTCACTCCAGCCGGGCACCGCGGACCGGAGAGGAACTCGGCCACTCTACAGGGAAGGGGGGTGGAGGGAGTAACAAAACGGGGGGGGTTGAGTAAGAAGAACAGGTGGGGGTAAGAAGAACAGGTGGGGGTAAGAAGAAGAAGGGGGAGTAAGAAGAAGAAGGGGGTAAGAAGAACAGGTGGGGGGAGTAAAAAGAACAGGTGGGGGGAGTAAGAAGAACACAAGGTGAGGAGAAGGGGAGATGAGGAGAACGGGGGACTGAGAAGAAAACAGGGAGGGTGGGTGGTGAGGAGAACACAGGGAAGGGGGAGGAGAGGAGGACACAGGGAGGAGAAGGGGAAGGGCGTAAGAAGAACACAGGGGGGGTGAGGAGAAGGGGAGATGAGAACACAGGGAGGGGGGAGGTGAGAAGAACACAGGTGGGAGGGGGGTAAGAAGAACACACAGGAGGAGAGGGGTAAGAAGCTACGAACACAGGGAGGGGGTGAGGAGAAGGAGATGAGAAAACAGGGAGGGAGGTGAGAAGAACACAGGTGGGGGGAGGTGAGAAGAACACATGGGGGGTGAGTGAGAAGAACACAGGGAGGGTGAGTGAGAAGAACACAGGGAGGGTGGAGGGGGGATAAGAAGAGCACAGGGAGGGTGGGTGAGTGTGAGAAGAGACCGCTAGGGGAGGGTGGGGGAGAGCTCTAAGGGAAAGAACGGACAGCTCTATAGGACAGGGGGCAAGACAGGGAACTCTTTCACACTACACGCACACGCACACACAATGCATCCCTATTGCCTAAGGCGGCAAAAATCCTTGCACCGGCTCTGATCCTGGGCGGGTGCACCAGTCTACTGGTGACCCACAGGAGGGGAGTGCACTGATTGCACTGCACTCTCCTCCTGCCCAGACCCGTCTTTACCGCAGTGCAAGTGCCATCTTGCCCTAATTTACAGTGGCTCACACTCACAGCAAGCAGTGCCTGGAGCCCTTTTCAGAGACGGAACAAAGAGGTTCTGCGGCAGCTGGCCGTCCTGCAAGCATTACATTAACCAGCTGTTCCCCATGCAGCCACAGGTGCCGCTGTGCTGGGAGATTGTGATTACTCTTCACTTCCTCCCAGCCTACAGAG